ATGATACGTGCCCCTTTTCCTTTCTAATAAGGGACCTATCCCCTTTTCATAAATGCCCTTTTCACCTTAAATGCCCCTATCAAAATCTGATGGGGGCCCTTTTTCCGTCGACAAATGCCAATTTTCCTATTCTCATGAATGACTTTTTTCATCCCTGGTGAGTGCCTCCTATTGAAGTTGTAAGAAATGCCCTATTTTCACCTCTGATAATTATTTTGTTGTACTGACACATGCTCTTTTTCTAGAAAGTGCCCTTTTTTCTTGGTGCCCCCCCCCCACTTTGGAAGTCGCTCGGCCGTCCCTGCCCTTCGCCCATAATAGCTTGGCTTGATAGGGTATATTTATATACACCGGTTATGGGGACATATATATATACCGGGCTATGGGGACATTGATATATACCGGGCTATGGGGACATTGATATATACCGGGCTATGGGGATATATACCGGGCTACGAGGACAAATGTCCGCGCACCACGGTCTGGTACAGACAGACTAATTTTGTTTTTATTTGAATGTATTTCGTATTTCAAATGATATATAATGATATATAGTTTCGCCTCGAATAGCTTTACATATCCTACGTTGAGATTGCTTTAATAACCCACGGCAAGTCCAAGTCCCCGTAACGCGGTCTCATACACAAGTCCCCATAGAACTAGTTTTATATGTATATATATATATATATATAAATATATATATATTGTGTGTGTGTGTGTGTGTGTGTGTACGTGCATGTGTGTTTGTGTGTGTGTGTGTGTGTGTGTGTGCATGTGCACGCGAGCGTGCTTGTTTGTATGTGTTTGTAACGAATAGTGGAAGTGCACGTAGCTCTGTGTGGTATAGTGGATTGGAAACAAATATAGCCTTTACAATAAAGGAAACTAAGAATACGAAATAGAAAACAAAATTTGCAAAACTGAGTTGCAATGTGACCAAAATTTGTCAATTGCCTACTGCATGTTGAAATCAGTTATGTAAATACTTCGATATAAGAGTTTTTTTGAGAGATGCTTTAAAAGAATAGAGAGATGAACAATGCCTTATTGAATTTGGTAAGGAGTTCCAAACATCTGGTCCATGATGTCTTACTGATTTTTGTGCTAAAAGTATTTTAGGATTTTCTAAGTGATAATTTGTTGAACAACGGGTGGGGTATGTGTGAATGTTTGAGTTTAAACTGTAAATATTGTGAAATAGGGATGGTAGTTGATTATGAGAATATTTATACATAAAAATGCATGTCTAAAAAATATGAATATCTTGTAATTTTAATGTTTTTAAACGCTGAAATAAAGGTTCCGTGTGTGATAATGTGAGTTAGTGATCATGCGAATCGCTCTCTTTTGAAGCAAAAATAAGGAATTAATTCTTGTTAAACTACAATTACCCCATACAATATTACAATATATCACATGTGATAAAATTAGAGAATTGTATAATATAATCATAGATCTTTCAGAGAGAATTTTTTTAAACTTATACAGTATTCCAATATTCCTTGATATTGATGTAATACATCATAGTGTATACGCTCAATTAAAATTTAGATGAGAGTCAATAGTGATTCCTAAAAATTTAACAGATTGTTTTTCAATGAGAGGCAAGCCATCAATCTCAATATTACAATTTCTTATATCATGTACGTTGGTCTGTTTCAAATGAATGAAATTTGTTTTACTAAGATTTAATGACAATTTATTAGATTTAAACCACCTAGAAATTTTCATTAATTCACAGTTTAACCGCGTTATGAGCGTATCAAAGTTTTTATGGGAATAAGAAATACTCGTATCATCAGCAAAGATGATAAAATTTAAAAGTGAAGAGGTTTCAATAATATCATATATATAAATAATAAAAAGCAATGGATCCAATATAGATCCTTGCGGTACTCCACATTTAATTGTTAATTTTGTTGATTCATGATTTTGGAAAGATACATATTGTTGTCTGTCTTGTAAATAATTAGTAAACCATGAAAGAGCTTGACCTCTTACGCCATAGTATTGTAATTAATGAATTAATATTTTATGATCAATCGTATCAAAAGCTTTTGACAAGTCCATAAATACTCCAACAATATGTTCACTGTTCGCAAAAGCCTCAATTATTTTATCATACATTATGCAAAATTGCGTAATCGGTAAATGACCAATTCTAAATCCGAACTGGTTAGGAATCAATGAATTATTTTTTTGGTAAGAAAGTGTTAAGTCTTTTATATATTTTTTTTTCGAGAATTTTAGAGATACTTGTAAACATTATGAGAGAGAGAGAGAGAGAGAGAGAGAAAGGAACGGGAGAAAAAGAGAGAGTAACAGAGACGTAGAGAGAGAGAGAAAGAGAGAGAGAGCAAAATAAAGAGAGTATGAGAGAAAGCAATAGAGAGAGAGAGGGAGAGCCAGGGGGGGGGGGGGATAAAAGGGTATTATACAAAAGATGAGAATAAAAGGAAATATGAATGATTGCATGGACTTGTCAATTCATTTCATATAATGTCTAATATACATTTGATCATGCAACTACAAAAAACAAGAGATCGAACGGGACAAAAGGAAGGGAAATCATGATTATGTGCATTATAAATAGAGTCTGTTGAGGATTCAAGAGTAATAATTAAATAAAACGACAAAGCTTCCGTACTTCGCGTGGGAGGGGAAAAACTGAAGTCAGACAAGGACACGATCGAATCGTCTTCTTTCTCTAATAATTTAATAAAACTTGAAAGCGTCCGCGTTTTACGCGGGATAGGCGAAAATGAATTTAGACAAGGATTAATAGTAATAATTTATTGAAACGTCAAAGCTTCCGCGCTTTGCGCAAAAGGAGGGTGAAACTAAATTCAGACAAGGATTAGGAGTCGAGAACGGTTCAATGAATCGTTTTCTTTCTCTAGTAATTAAATGAAACGTCATAGCTTCCGCGCTTCGCGCGGGAGGGCCGAAACAAAAATTAAGAGTCGGGACCGGTACAATGAATTGTCTTCTTTCTCTAATAATTAAATGAAACGTCATAGGGGCGAAACAAGAATTAAGAGTGGAGAACGGTACAACGGATCGTCTTCTTTCTCTAATAATTTAATGAAGTGTCAAATCTTCTGCGCTTTGCGCTGAATGGGCGAAAATGAATTCAGACAAGAATTAAGAGTAATAATTTAATGAAACACCAAAGTTTCCGCGCTTTGCGCGGGAGGGGGGGGGGGCAAACTGATTTCAGACAAGGATTAAGAGTCGGGACCGGTACAATGAATTGTCTTCTTTCTCTAATAATTAAATGAAACGTCATAGCTTCAGCGCTGCGCGCTGAAGGGGCGAAACAAGAATTAAGAGTAGGGAACGGTACAACGAATCGTCTACTATATCTAAAAATTTAATGAAGTGTCAAATCTTCCGCGCTCCGCGCGGAAGGGGGAAAACTGAATTCAGACAAGAACACGATACAACGAATTATCTTCTTTCTCTAATAATTTAATGAAACGCGAAAATAAATTCAGACAAGGATTAAGAGTAATAATTTAATGAAACACCAAAGTTTCCGCGCTTTGCGCGGGAGGGGGGGGGGGGGCAAACTGATTTCAGACAAGGATTAAGAGTCGGGACCGATACAACGAATCTTTCTTCTTTCTCTAATCATTTAATGAAATGTGAAAGCTTCTGCGCTTCGCGCGGAATGGGCGAAAATGAATTCAAACAGAATTAAGATTAATAATTTAATGAAACGCAAAGCTTTCGCGCTTCGCGCGGGAGGGGGGGGGGCGGTAAACTGAATTCAGACAAGTTTTGAGAGTCGAGAACGGTACAACGGATCGTCTTCTTTCTCTAATAATTTAATGAAGTGTCAAAGCTACTGCGCTTCACGCGGGAGGGGGTGGGGGAACTGAATAATAACTTAGTTCCTGGCCCCGGGTTTATTGGGTTAAATTTGTAGACATTTGGACATTGGGCATTAATATATTTGTCGGTAATTGATGGCCTGAAAATGCGTCTAATTTGATTCTAAAATTGCAAATGCGTCCCACCCCCGCTTGGTTGCTCCGCTCCCTCGCCGCTTAAGCCTCGTTCTGTCGCTTCATCGTTTCACATAAGTATACTTCACCCCATGCCATTTTGTGCCCCCCCCCCCCCCCCCGTAAGAAATTTCTGGATCCGCCACTGATGCCCATACCCATTAGACCCTACTTTGAGAACTGTTCAGCGGGGCCTGCATGTTAGAGTGGGGTGATGCGGATTTTTTTTGTGTGTCAGCCCCCCCCCCCCCCAAACGTTTTTGCTCATTACGCCACTGCTTGCTCTTCTTGACTTTATGTCTCCAGAGAGTTTGTTGATTTTGCGACCCATTTGAGAAAGAAGTAGTAGAAAACGGGCACTATACCGTTCTATTGCAGTAAAAGGAAATATGTGTCGGCTCCATTCTCTCTGAAGACTCTTAAAGTTCCAACATTCGAGTAAACATAAAATCATCTTCGGGCAGCAAGATGGCATCCTCAAATTAGCGTTTTCCCACCTTTTTTACGTTCATCTAAACATTCTGATTTTATCTCCAGCAATATTATCTTAATCGTTTTGTCTTTATGAATAAAATATATATACATGTATATATACATGTACGTATTTGGATAGAATTAATATTTGTCTTTCAGATATATAAAGAAAGTGGGAAATGGAATTTGGTAAAACAAACGATGCCTACGTAAATATATAACATAAAGAAAGTGGAAAATTTATGGTATCAAACAGTCGTGTTTGATACCATAAATTTTCCACTTTAAATTAGAGGGAATAATAAAATAACTTAATGAACGAAATGCCACTATGTAATATAAAGTGTATTTTATAGTTTTTCATGTACAGGAAAGAAAAAAAAACAAATCAGAACTAGCATATTATATTCGTTCTCTGATTTTCCGTTTTTCACACGTCTCTCGATTTAAACAGCTCCATCTGTGGGCGTGGTCGGCGTAGCCCTGGGGTATGGTAGGGTTGGGTACACTTTGTACAGGTATTAGGTACCACCGAATGAGTATTCCTCACTGCACTCCTTTGCACGTCGACTGAGCTGAGCGAGGAATAAGTAAGTACTGTCTTTTCTTGACCTATTTCGATGTTAATTTTTAGTTCAAAAGTTTAAGTACGGCGCCAGTCTTCTTAATAGTCCAAGAGTTTTCGTTCAAATTATGTCAAAATGTAATATAAGATAAGAAAAATGATAATTTTAGATGCGCGATTAACGACGGTAACGATGGTTTATCAGTTGATACAATTCGTAATGCCTAATGCCTGGGGAGCGCGAGCCCGGCCTATGCTAAACTTTGATTTGAAATTGACAAGAAATTTGCAGAACATATTTTATCCAACTGAGCAAGAACAACGTTAAGTTGTCTTGATTATTAATTTAAGCTAGGGCTAGTCTATTTAATGGATTGATTTTTCCCTTTTCTATAGTATAAACTTGAAAAAGTTGTAGCAAATACTATAATTTTAATTATTCTAAAACTATTTTTTCCCTCTTTGTAATTGACAATTGTCTTAATAATCCTACCTTAATTGTGTTCATGTTATGTTTCGTTTATGGCTTGTCGTATCATCTACGCCTTTCCATGATATCTATATGATTTCTCAGCAAATTATTCGTGATTTTCAAGAGAAAATCTTTCCATATGTAATTTGTTCTAATTGTCAGTTGTAGTGAATTTTTCTTTGTGTAGCTCCTTTAAGGCCCATTTAGGGGCCATATTCTAAAACTGATGTACATTATCTCACTTTAACAAGTTAGGGAAAAGTTATAGTCTTAAATTGTGCTGAACTAACACCATAACAAAAATAATAGTAATAATATTTAGCAACAACAATTCAAATCATTTTTTACTAACAAGTAACATTAAAGATAACATTGTTTTCAGGATGCCATCCAGAATTCCTTCCACGCTACAATCTCTTTTAAGTTTTAGCACCTTTGGTGATACATGTATACACTTTCTATCTGTTAAAAAAATTGAGTTACAAAATAAAACGGCTATAAATATGAAACTTACATAGACTAATTATTGATACCTTGTATATTGAAATTTTAATCATTGATTCCCCCTCTGCAGAAAGCTGTGGATTGTTTCTGGAAAATACAAGGGAGCTAAAACTTCATCACCATGTTCAAGCAAAAAGTGATCAAGCAGGGGAAGGAGTATGATAGCATCGTACGGCAGTGCAGACAGTCAGGGGCCAAGTTTGAGGACCCTCTCTTTCCTGCTTGCGTTGAATCGCTTTTCTTTGAGCAGAAGCCGCCTCAGCCATTCGTATGGAAGCGACCCAGCGTAAGTCATGGCCCTTCTTTCTCTCCCTCCCTCACGGACATGACATTGGTTTCTTTTATTAATAAAATTCATTAGCATATATATATATATATATATATATATATATATATATACCTAGTTTGGTTGATGGTTTTATTTGAAGAACTGATACATGGTTTAACTTGTTATGTTTTTAAAAGCTGACAAAAAAGAAGGGCTATAAATCTAGGTATGAATTAGGGATTTGTTGATACTTGTAATTATGTAGCTCTAGGTATCAAGCGCTTGATCGAAAATATGACGCTCATGAGTTTAATACTAGGCACAACACTGTTTAAGCACAGCATATTTTTAAAATTAATGTTGCTTCTCTCTACTCGGGTGGGTTCTAGGTAGGATGTGACAGTCCTTGTGGTTTGTTCTGCTTTAATTGTTATGATGCCTGGCAAGAATTTGCATAAATTAATTAAACATTTTGCGTAGGGTCGCCTTAATCTTGTAGCCTACATCTGATGAGTGGGATGATAGCTATGAAGTGCTTTAAAGCCCCTCTAAAATGTTAGGAGCCCAAAAAAAATTATGGCAAAATTTCACTTAAATTGTTATCATAATTTGAAAGAGGATGTCATTTTAAGACACATTCCTGCAAGGATTTTCAACACAAATGTGTTTGAAGTCGAATATTGATGAAAGAATACAAAATTTAGGTTTTCTGCATACAACAGAAAACCCAAAATAAGTATTCTTTTATCAATATTTGTCTTAAAACACACTTTTTGAGGGAAATTTTTGCAGGAGGGTCTTAAATGACATCCTTTTTCACATTATGATAAAATTTAAGTGAAATTTTGCCTTTACATTTTTAGGCGAATTTGGGGCTCCCAAAAGCAACACTTTACAAAGGGGCTTTAAGTCGTCGTAGATGTAACGTACACATTTAATAAACCCAGACTAATATTTGTACAGAAAGAGAAGTTAATAAGTAACTTGGAGATATTCGTAAATGTACATGCTTAATGATTACTCATTAACAGTTATCTACAAGATGACAGAAGTTATCTGGATGCTAGTCCAAATATTTCCTTCCTGAAACATTGTTTGAGGTCATTTAGCGTTTGATAATTGTCTGAATGGTTGGCAGGCAGAATATTTGTGTACAAAAAGGGCAGGACTTGAAAATCTAACTTTATTGCATAGCATGGGTATTTTGAATGGCCAATTGCATTGCATTTCAATGACAGCAGAACCATTCTAATGCTTGCTTTTTAATTAGATTTTTTTTTCTATATCAACACAACTCCTTTTAAGAAATCCAACAGGCCTATAAACTGTGCAGACTTTTTTGCACTGTATTTCTTTTTAGAACTATGAATCAATAGATATTGAGCTGAAACAAATAACCAAAGTATTTTTTAAAATGTCATTGACGGGTATAATCAGATAGTAGAAGAAACAACGACATACCAAACAACCATTCTATTCAGAGAGAAAAAGAATAATATCATAGTGTTTAACATTGTACAATAAACTATGTACAGTAAGTCTAGTGGGAAACAAATTTTGCTTGTCGTTTTCACCCAATACCGGCCTGCCTAGTTCTATGCTTCTTGCATTTTTCATGAGTAATTGGGCAGGATACCGACTGATTAGTGGGCTAAAGAATTACCTGTACGGGCTGTACCCTTCCCTAGCCAGGCTAAAGTAATTGGCAGAGCCTGGAATTGAAAAGTATTCTCCTGCCCTAGCTGTTCAGACTATAGAAAACTATATCAAATTGGTATGAAAAAATGTAGTGTAAAGAATGAGCTATAGCGAAAGGGGCGTACATGCTAAATAGCATTAAAACGTTGAATAAAGACGTTTCTGAAGAGGTCAATGGACAAGAGAACTAACCGAACATCAGCGCATGCTAATGAAATATGCCACGCCCACATGTACATTTTTTGTATGATACAACATTTAGACTATAGAACTGGTTTCTGTGACCCTACTTCTTTATCGAGTCTTCGTTCGTAACGATACTTAAACATGTGTTTAGCTATATGCAAGGTTTTTTTATATGACATTTGGACTAGAAAAAAGGGGCAATTAGTGAATATATTGTACATGTAGCCACATGTCGTCTGAATGCAGGTTTGGCTACCAAGCCCTACCCACGAGGTTGCAAACCATTCTTCCATTGAATTACAGTCTGTTGAATTCTTGAATAAAGATCGTTGAAGAACAAAATCAACCAGGCATGACATTGATTTTTTGAATAAAGCTACAGAGGAACAAAAAGAAAAAGTCTGAGAAGTGACTATACCAGGACTGCATGCTGCACATTCGATCAGCAAGGTCATTTCTTACAAGTCTGAAAGATGGGGCCTGGGAAGATAAATTTGATCTGCATACTCTTTTCAATAGCAGCAAACATTAGATCTCCTGCATTAATTACTCTCCTATAGTCCTACATGTAACATGTATGTGGCGTGTGAACCACATACAATGCACTGCACTGTCTGATTACATAAGGCGCTCAGGCATAAAGCAATTCACTCTTTTAACGACTATCCATCATGATAGCCCTTTTTTCTACCTTTTTCACCACCCCAATCAATACATTAGTGGCTTTTCATGCACAACTGCATAAGGTGTGTCATGTGTATATAGCCTTATCTAGGCAATTTAAGTTCTTTATTTCTCATGATGAGAATTATATTTCGAAGGAAAATTGTAAATGGTAGATCACATAACAAATGAAAATGTCCATGGTTTCATCACACTACATTAGTGATGGAAAATTTCTTTTTAAGTCTTGTATGGCACGCTAGGTACAGTATTGCAGCTGATATAGTGTACAAATTAAATGTTCATTTACAGGAGCTCATTTGGGGATTTGCGATTGAAACAGTGAGATCAGATTTCCTTGCTGTAGTTTATTTTCTGTTTTTCTATCAGAGCTAAAAATCATATTAATCCCCACTCTGTATTTGGTAATTAGTCTCTCGCTGAAAATTTTGAAATGTTTATCATGCGAACTATCTTGCTCACATGAAACATAGCAAATATGAATCCCCACCAAAATTGGCAAACATTTCCTGCTCAAAAAGTTTCAATTCTTGCAATATATTTATCATTGTGACCATAAAGCAGTACAGATCGAGAGCAAGGAAGGTGTAACCTCTGTGTAAAAGAATATGAGCTATTGCCCTTCTTCCTCTCAACAAAAATAAACAGATGAAATATATGTATGCCCTGGGCATTTAAACTGGAATGAAAGAAAAGATTTTTAGACTAGCCCTATTGATTTTAGTCTACCAGTGCCTCGATCTCAATTCTACTTTTGTCATCTTATATACCACTCCCTTTTATAAAGGAAACTTTGAATTTGGGACAAATAACATATAATCCTTGTCAGAAACACCAAAGGATATTTGCACAGGCTGTTTTCTCATGAGGGCAGGACCATTATCATACACAGTGGGGAAAAGGCTGGTTTGATGTCTATCTATATATAGGTGAACGGAAAAGGTGTAATATCCATGTGCCTAAAAATGGGCAATGTTCTTACACTGTAGAATATCGGTCTTGAAAATCATTGAAGAAGAGTTCGCTTCAATTTAAATGGTACCTCCCAAACAAACAGTCACCAAACAATTTTTTTTCCCTTTTAAAGTTGTAAGTTTGGTACCTAGATATTATTGATTAACCTGTTGCCTTCCAGGAACTGGATAATTCCTGTATAAAGCCTTTTAGGGATAAGAGAATTCAGTAGACAACAGGTTGAACATACTAGCTTTCTCTTTGATTTTGTAAAGGGAGATTAAAATAGTCTCTAACTTCAGACAAATACTTGTTAGTAGAGTACTTGATGCAAGGAACCCAAGTGTGACTTGGCTTCTGTACATTAAAGTTAATGGCGAAATTCTTAGTTTCCTTCATAGAGATAGAGGGCTTTTTTCTTGGGGGGGGGGGGTAGTTTTACCCAAGCTAAATCTCTCAAGCCTCCAGTTAAACATTTTATTAATTTTTTAATGGATAAAATGTAGGTCTAGCATATATTCTATTATAATGGTTGTGGAAAGTTTAACATTTTAGAAAAATAATGTGTGTGTGTGTGTTTGTGTGCGAGTGAGGGTGGGTGTGTGTGAGTATGTGTGAGTGAGTGAGTGAGTGAATGTATGTGTTTGAATGTGTGCGTGTGTTTGTGTATGTGTGTGTGGTGAATAGGTGGTGAAAGAGGAGCGAAAAAGCCAATTACATGATATCATGTCTACTATCATTACGTCAAAATATGATTAAAAGAACATTGATGCGAAATTCAATTTGATCAAGTGGATATACTGCTTGGCTCCCTACTGGTTATTAAAAGACCAGTAACAAAACAACAAAATATGAGCCGGCATAGCTCTTCTATAAACTTGTCCTTTTTTCCTCATTTTGTTATCTTTCCTCTCAAAAGAGGTATTAATTTATCAGTAGCCAGGATATGGAAATGCCATTTCATGTAACAGGAAGAAAGAATAGAGGTGAATGAGATACCGTGTTTACCACCAAGAATTAGAATTATTATGGCTTTGTTACTCTTTCCGGTACTAGGGTGCAGCATGGAAGCGCAGGCCATCAAAATAGATTTCATGTACAAGCAAAAGAGATAATAGCCACTTCAGACCAGAGGACATTTGTATGCCCTAACAATGCCCTGATGTACATTTAACTTATCGCATCATGGGATCATAGATAGGGTTTTGAAAATGTGCAAATATTTTTTTTTATAGTGCTCACCATGAATCACCATGGGCTCTACCTGTAGTACTTTACCATTTGTTTCTTCACTTTTCGAAGCACATTGGATATTTACATATTTGTACATTGATTATACTATTATAGGCTTATGTAAATGTTATCCTAGAGATAGTTTTATCCAGGGGTTCAAAAGATGTGATTGACACATGCAAGGGGCATTGTACTTTTGTATTTTTGCAGGTTGAAGTGTAAGGGTCTATGAAAAAAGTTGGTTGTGTGCAAATTATATTTTC